GGGATCCACCGGGTTAATCAGACTCCCCATCTCAAGGGGCACATTGTCTGCTTCCCCAACGATGTATCAAGCATGTGCACTGAATTGCCGCGTACTCCAGAGCATCTTAATATTGTTGCCATCACAGCGCCTGGGCAACAAATACGAATTGTGAGGGTGCGCCGCAACAAAGTGTTGTCAGCATTGAAATGGCTTAAAGAATTTAATCACCATTATCAGGATGTAAACATCAATGTTCAGAACTTGGATAGGTATGTGGACAGTGGCGTGGTTCAAGACCTGCCCACCATCCCTATTGGACCTAATCCTGTATTGGATCCCAACAGTGGACCACAAGAGTTGCCTGACGAGGATGCACCTAGTCTGTACCACACAATGGTGTTGGGCAACCTTGGACCAGGACAAACCGAGAGTGACATTAATCGTCAGACTCTGCAGAACCAAACCAATGCTGAGGCAGCTGGGGCCCCTCCAGCGCCTTGCACCAGTCAGAATCCCCTGAACTGGCCAGAGGAAGGTCAGCCCGTACGAGATTCCATTCCCCACTTTTTTGGCATGGCCTTCCCTACCCTATTTCCCCGTGGTAAGGCAGATTTAAACATGGATCGTAACACTGCTGTCACGCCCACAGATTGGGTACTCCACCTACTGCGGTTCAAAGACCAAGGTTTTGCCGAGCACCACAGATTCCTATTTGTTGTGTTCAACTACATTCAAAAGAGGAAAATGTTTACTGCCAGCAACCTGTATGTCAACCAAACACTGGTGGGCAAGGACAAGTTCAAACGCCTGCTCAATGCATCGGACCAGGAAGCTAATGATTTGATTAGACAGATCACACAACAAGGTGCTAATATTTGGGGTTCCAAACCCTATATGCGTAAATTTAGCAATGCAGCCTCAAATTTTATTTCCTTTATTCGCCACCATTCAGGTGATAAAGAGAGTTTCAGCTATTTTCATACCCTCAGCTCTGCCGACACTCACTGCAACAGCTTTCTCAAGCTGTTTCCTGAAGGTGTTCAACATCTGAGTAAGATATTGGTTAAAAACGCTGAAGAAATACCCCAAGGAGCAGACAGATCCCTGTATTGCACCAACAAAGAGGGTTATATCTTTCGACGAGATTTTATCATAAGGATGTGTATTTCAGACACAAAGTCGAGACTAATGTCAAGGACATATTTTGTGAGGAGTTTGGTGCCCTTGACTGGCTCATTCGCTACGAGTTTCAATCTAGATCAGCCATCCATGCTCATATCCTTCTGGTACTGCCTGTTGGGGTCGATCGGGGAGACAGGCTCAACGCCATGCATCCCTGGCACCAAGAAGAAGAACTGGACAGGATTGAACAACTGTTAAATGCACCACAGCCAGCTGAGGATGATACTAGTGACGAGGCAGTTACACACCGTCAACAGATAAACTCCAATGCTGCCAAAGCAGTTCTCAGCCGAAGAAAGCTTGTGCACATTTCACGGCTCTGTTGGGGTCTTACTATGTCACATCCGTCCAACAATTTTTCAGACCGTCTGGTTTGTCATGGCCATACCCTCATGCACAATCCAACCAATGAGGTTTTAACCCATTAGTGACATGAGCGTCGTTTTCGACCCCTTAATTCAACCCCTAACTAACTATCTAACTATCTATGCTAGACATTCAAATATGTTAGTATGTAATTGAAACAGCTTTAAGTTTTATCTGCCAAAACCCAGTAGCTCTAGGATCAATATTTCTCCAGTGACACCTAAGCAAGCATGGCATCAACACGAAAAACCAGAGAAAAACTTCAACCCAGGTTTAACTTTTATATTTTTAAGTTTAAAAACCCACTTATGTGTAAAAAGTTATAGCATTTGTTGTATATTTATATTTTCTGCTAAGTTTTGTTTCATTTCAGTATATTTACATATATTTTTTTGATAAAATGTTGTGCGTCGATATGGACGCTCCCGGTTTAACCTATTATGGCACACATCTATAATGGACCACACCGGATTAACCTTTTTCAGGGCCTGTATACACGGTGCTATGGAAACGCCTCAACACGGAATCGGACCAAAAAAAACGGAAACCTCCCCAAAACGAATTTTTTTGAGGGGTTTTTTGTTTTTTCAAAAATTATCGGAAATCCCTCAAATCAAATTTTTAGAGGAATTTCCCGTTTTTATTGATCCGTTTCCTAGATTTTAAGGTATGATTCCGGTTTATCAGGGTCTTATATTGTTGACGGATTTCCCAATATTTTTGAGGGATTTCCCAATATTTTCGATCCGTTTCCTCATTTTTTGGGTCCGTTTCCGGTTTTCAGAAAAAGTTTAAAATTCTCAGTTTGTTGATCGGTTTCCTCTTTTTTTGGGTCCGTTTCCTCTTTTTTTGGGTCCGTTTCCTCTTTTTTTGGGTCCTTTTTGGGTCCGTTTCCGGTTTTCAAAAAAAGTTTTAAATTCTCAGTTTGTTGATCGGTTTCCTTATTTTTTGGGTCTGTTTCCTCATTTTTTGGGTTCGTTTCCGGTTTTCAAAAAAGTTTCGAATTCTCAGTTTGTTGATCGGTTTCCTCTTTTTTTGGGTCTGTTTCCTCATTTTTTGGGTCAGTTTCCGGTTTTCAAAAAAAAATTTAATTCTCAGTTTGTTGATCGGTTTCCTCTTTTTTTGGGTCTGTTTCCTCATTTTTGGATCCGTTTCCGGTTTTCAAAAAAAAGTTTCAAATTCTCAGTTTGTTGATCGGTTTCCTCTTTTTTTGGGTCCGTTTCCGGTTTTCAAAAAAAATTTTAATTCTCAGTTTGTTGATCGGTTTCCTCTTTTTTTGGGTCCGTTTCCTCATTTTTTTTGTCAGTTTCCGGTTTTCATAAAAAGTTTTAAATTCTCAGTTTGTTGATCGGTTTCCTCTTTTTTGGGGCCGTTTCCTCATTTTTTGGGTTCGTTTCCGGTTTTCAAAAAAGTTTAAAATTCTCAGTTTGTTGATCGGTTTCCTCTTTTTTGGGGCCGTTTCCTCATTTTTTGGGTCCGTTTCCGGTTTTTAAAGAAAGTTTTAATTTCTCAGTTTGTTGATCGGTTTCCCCTTTTTTAGGTCTGTTTCCGGTTTTCTAAGTTTAAAATATCAAAGGTTTTCACCACTCGGTGCAAAGATTTATCGATTAGAATATTTGGGTTTGTGGCAAAATCTAGAGAACATTCTGAGACTGAGCGTGGCAAACTTCTAACTGATAATCATATTTGCTAACTGTTTTTTGATATAACTTATATAAAATCGAAAATGAAATAAGATTATAAATGTTGGATAGAATGATCAATCATAAATTCAATAACTTCAGGAGAAAACGTAAAATTTTGCGCCTCTGGAAATTAGAATATAAACAAAGACAATATTTTTTCAAATTTTTACAGAGTAGCATTTCTAAAGATTTAAAAAAGTAACATCCTTTTCCACTTAGAGTAAAACTATTTTTTATTTTACTTAAAATAAATTCAGTTTTTTAACAGATTTTTGTAGTTAATACGTAAAATGAATGACTTTAATGAAGAATATAAAACAAAGTGAAAGCTGAAAGTTAGGAAATGAAGCCATTACTATGTGGAGTTTGGAAATGCCAGAAATGAGTGGAAAATGCAAATCAAACCCAACTAAAACCAATAATTTGTTATACATCCTAAAATTACCCAAAAAATGAGGAAACAGACCCAAAAAATGAGGAAACCGATCAACAAACTGAGAAATTTACAACTTTTTTTGAAAACTGGAAACGAACCCAAAAAATGAGGTAACTGACCCAAAAAAAGAGGAAACCGATCAACAAACTGAGAATTTGAAACTTTTTTGAAAACCGGAAACGGACCCAAAAAAAAGAGGAAACGGACCCAAAAAGAGAGGAAACCAATTAACAAACTGAGAATTTGAAACTTTTTTTGAAAACCGGAAACGGACCCAAAAAAAGAGGAAACCGATCAACAAACTGAGAATTTGAAACTTTTTTTTAAAACTGGAAACGGATCCAAAAAAAGAGTAAACCGATCAACAAACTGAGAATTTACAACTTTTTCTAAAAATCGGAAACGGACCCAAAAAAAGAGGAAACGGACCCAAAAAAGAGGAAACCAATTAACAAACTGAGAATTTGAAACTTTTTTTGAAATCCGGAAACGGACCCAAAAAAAGAGGAAACGGACCCCAAAAAAGGAAGGATTGATATTGTTGACCAATTTAAAGAAATTTGCGATTAAATTTTTATTTGATTGTTTACATTTGATTTTGGATTTAATTTGATTTGATTTGATTGAATTATATTTGTTTTTAATTTGATTTAGATTTGATATGGATTTGGATTGGATTGAGATCCATGTTAGATTGGATTGGTTTGGATTGGATTGGATTGGATTGGGTTGGATTGGTCTTTAAACCTTTATCTGAATAATAATGTGGATTCACAACAGTACTCTTTAAACCTTTATCTGAATAATAATGTGGATTCACAACAGTACCCTTTTAACCTTTATCTGATTATCTAGGAAAACTATAAAAGAGAATTTGCAAAGCATAATAAAACGATTGTTTCTTTAACAATCGTTACCGACAACTAATCGATAACACAATTGTCAATAAATTTTTTTTTCATAAAACGTCGTTTTTTAAAAGCGATAGTTTTTTTAAAAACAATCATATAAAATGTTCTTATATAAACAATTGTTTTCAAAAACGATCATTATTCCTTTTCTATAAGTTGAAAACGAGTTGCAGATTGGTTATTAAAAACGAATTGATCTTTTTTAATAATTAACAAGAAATGAAACAAAAAATGAAACAAAAAATTATCATGTTTTAACAATCTTACTTACACCTCAAATACTCAACAGTTAAGTTTATCCTTTGTCTCATCAAAAATATACAAATCACACATAAATTCTCTTTAAAAATTTGAATATTTTCATTTTGTCTTCCTCAATATCAATATAAATAATCGTGAAGCACAAAAATTTTGTATTTACTATTTTCTATTCAATAGTTGTGCCTGCCAGTACTCCTGGAAGTTCCTTTACTGGACCCAACAACACCCAAGGTGCCCCTACAGGACCCACTAATCAAAGAGGTCTGCCTGCCAAGAGAGGAGCTACTGGAGGTCGAGGTCAATTTGTCAGGGGAGGTCCTGCTGGACGAGGATATTTTAGTGGCCGAGGAGGTGCCAGTGCAATCCAAGGTATTTATTTATATTTTTTATATCTAATTATACTTATTATTCAAATACGATTTTGTTAAAAAATATCAATCATTGGTAAAAACTTAATATTAATTCCCTACATTTAAACTAATCATCTTTTTATTTGTTAATTATAAGGATAATTTATTTATTTCTTTGCTCATAATCCATTGATAGCAATTTGCATCAAATTTAAATTATGAAACTAAGATATTTCTTCACAGTTTTCCCTTCAAAGTTAATTTAAAAATATTAATAATGATTGATTTTCATTTTATTTTGATAATAAATATATTATACTTATCATTTATATACTAACTGCTTCTATTTACACTTTACAAAATATTTTTTTCAGGAAATAATTCACAACCTTCAACTAATTCCTCCAACCGTAGCTCAAATAAAAAGAAGTACCGTCGATCTGCTGCAGGATGGAAAAAGCAGGAAGCTAGAAAGAAGTTCTTTCATCCAGATTCTGGGGAAGACATCAAAGCTGGGAGAATGAGAGAGCAAATGTATCTCTTCAATTCAGCATACAAGGATTATGCATCTCTTGCGTATGATAAAATCTATAAAAATAAGTAAGACAACAAGAGAGTTCACCCGTCGAATGTCTTCCATGTACCGTCCTTGACTTGATCTTGGCCTTTTCAGATACCACGGACCACAGCTACATATCTTCTACATTAGTTTATAAACATTAACGAAAATTATTAGTTTGTGATATAGTATAAAGGACATAATTATTTTGTCATTTAACTTGAAAAGATAAAAAAATTGTAATTTTTATTTCTAACATTACTTATCACAATAAAAACATCAGATAGAACGAACTAGTGTTTTGATCAACTCCTAGATAACTTACGACTCAACCAATACCATATTACATTTCTCCTATCAAATATTATGGTAGGTATCAGGCACAGAAATTAATTTAACGTTAGAACTCTTCAGTGAAATGTGCTATTTTTCAGTAAATTATGCAAAAAAGCGTCGACGAAATAAAAAATGTAGAAATCATATTTTTTCAAAGCTGTGTATAACACTAAGGAATCGGAAAACAAAGATGATGTTGGTTTAAATTTAATTATAATTAAGTAAAAGGAATTAACGGCATAAAAATTGAATTTCCTTGTACAGTCTGTTAATATATTCCAAACAGAGCTTTTTAACTTAAAAACCACATTAAAAATGTAAATAAATCGTGACATATCATTCCATTAGATGCGAGTTTTTTGCAACTTAATCAAACTCTATATATATACTTAGCTTGCCTGTCCATTTGTATCCAATACACGTTAAAACGGCTGAGCCGATGGGGCCCTAATTTATTGTAACACCTTGCGTCATCCCAAGGAAGGTTGGTAAATGATCAAAATTGTAAATATTTGTGTTTTAAAGTTACTATTTTCATAAGATTTCTTTTAATATTGAAAATCTGCTTAAATATTTTGTAATATCCGAAAATTTTATTTTAGATTAATTTCATTATAAACAAAGAAAACTTCTGATAAATTGAATAAATGGCTTGACTCGCCTTAAACGCATAGACAGAACAGCGCCAACCGCCTTGAATTTCTAGTACTTTAAAGTTCAGTTTAAAAATGAACATAATGGAGTGTTTTCAATAATATTATCCCACGTTTAAAGAAACATTTTAATATACCGAACAGTAGCATATTCTTAATATCAATGTCACTATGTCGCAAATATACAAAGTACAGGGTGTCCCATTAATCATGGGAATGCAGTGACAAATTTAATATAGTCTTTGTTATACGTAATTTCAAGTAATAAAATTATCATGTTTGCTAAAGTTAATGTATATTACGGTAAAAGGCTGTCATATGTGTTTATTATGTCTTTTCAACATTAATAATGAAGACGGAAAAGTTTCTTCTGCATACTGTAATTTTCTTAATTTACTAAATACAACTGTATGAAATGAAAACAGTAATATACAAATTTTAACAAATGTGACTCAAATCTACCGGATTACAACTTTTTCAGTAGGGAATTCTTTCAAAAAACCATATCAAACTCGTCAATGAATTCCTATGTTTATTGGGACACCCTGTATTTTAAAATTAATGTTTAACAAAAAGGACACTTTTAATGTGAAAGAACAACAACCACAGCAACAAATCCAAAAATTCATATTAAAGAAAAACACGAGTTAGTCTAATATTCATGTTATCAGTGTGAAGATGTTGCAACTGAAACAAATAACCTAAAGATACACATTGAAGGATTGAGTCATCCTGGCCCTAATTGTACTTATACTGCAAATCAAGCAAGTCACCTAACGAAACAATGTGATATCAACATAAAAGACGGAAATATCCTTGTTTTCAATGCAACCTTGCTGTTACTTGTGCAAGTCATTTAAAGATGTTTAAAAAAATATTTTCTCATTTTATTCAAAAAAATTCTTTATATATTAGATATCCCTGAAACTTAACTGTTCCATTACTTTATTTACAGAACTAATACAATGCCTAGAGTATCTACATACTTTGAAACACCTCCAAATGCTATAATACGACACCTGGTGATTGGTCACTCTCAAGTCCGTCATGTTTGGGATCATAATCCAGATAACAATATTTCTATAGACTGGATATCAGTGTCTGGCGGTCATTCCCATGAGTTGGCACAAATGATCAAGACTGAAATCAATGAATCAGCAATACCCCTGTACATTAGCGGATTGATCTGGCAAAATGATGTTACAACACTTACCATTGCTAGTGCATGCGCCATCATTCAAGATTTGGAACAGTTCATGATGGACTATCCTCACTGTAAACTTGCTCTTCCCGAGGTAAAACTTTATCATTTCATTATTCACTTATCTCCAATTCAATTATTACTTATAGATTATCCATCTTTACTTATTAATTCTTCAAGCAAAAGTTATAACAAATGACAAAAAAATGAATTCACAGTTTTTATT